GATATCTAGTCTCGTAAAGCTGAGATAAAGTAACTGACCAACTATCTTCTTGTATCTTGAAGCTTCTTCTATGAGATCTCCTAGCTTATCATTGAACTGATGTCCCTTTGGAAGTGGAGTAGTTGTAGGTTTACACCCCAGGAGCCCAACTGAACTGAGAATATCCAGAATGTACTTTCTCTGGTTGATATAAAGACCTGTGCTTGACCTGGTAAGTTCAATCCCAAGGAAATATTTAGCATTTCCAAGATCCTTGATTGTGAAAGCACTGTCCAAAGCTTTCTTGATTGCTATAATTGACTGTTCATCAGGCCCTGTTATCAAAACATCATCAACATATACAAGTAAGGCCATGAAAGATCCTCCAGAACCCTTGGTGAACTAACAAGGATCATGCTGTGATTGCTGAAAACCAAGCTTTTGAATCCTGAAACAAAATTTTACATTCCGTTGTCTTGAAGCCTGTTTCAGACTGTATAATGATCTTCTTAATCTGTAAACTTGTCTTGGTGCTATCTTTTTGTACCGTTCAGGAGGCAGCATGTAAACTTTTCCTCCACGAAAAAAACATTGTCGATGACTAATTGATGTAGAAACCATCCTGAGCGAGCTGGAATTGCCAACATCAACCTCACTTTGACTACTCTTGCAACTGCTGAGAAACTGTCATAGTAGTCCTCTCCCTTATTTGATTACAGACCTTTTTCTACTAATCTTGCTTTCAGTCTTTCCACATTCTCATCTGAACAATACTTGATGTTGTAAACCCATTTACATCCTATGGCCTTCTTTCCAGGTGGTAGGTCTGTAATTTCCCAAGTTTTGTTGTCTTCCAATGCCTTGATCTCAGCATCCATAGCATCTTTCCAACCTAAGTGTTGATTTGCTTCCAAGTAACATGTTGGTTCTATGACAGTGTCTACTTTGGTTAAGAAAGATACATGAGCTACTGTGCAATTACGGATGGAATAAAAAGGGAAACTGTGAGGTGTGTCTTGGGTGTATTCATGAATTGTATCGGGTTTAGTAGTATGAGAATAAAAAAGCCATGCTTTCTCAGGAACATAATCATTCATCCATTTTGGAGCTTGTCTAGCTCTAATGCTTTTCCTAAGGGAAACAAAAGTATTATTAACTGGATCAGTAGCAATAATGTCTAATGGAAGAGTGGTGGCTGTGGTTTCTATGGGTGAAGAAATATTTGTATCAAGGGGTAACCTGTCAAGAGGTGTATCCAACTGATTTGAAGCATCATGCTGGAAAGATTCGTTGCTGCATGTAGAGAATTATGGATAGAAATCCAGATCTGAAAACCATTGATGATTTTGCTCCCATCATAGATTCTGACGAGAAAATAAAAGCTGTAAAAACGAGATATGACTTGCCCCTAGATCTAGAAGCTAGAGTCCCGTTACGAACCGAGAGGGCCAATTCTCCTCCTGAGGGAACTCTTTACCTTTCCAGCTGGAAAGGTGAAGAGATGAAACGCCGGCTGGCACCAGTTCTCATACACACGTTCTCTTATAACCCTATTTATGACTTAAGAATCGGAGCGGCTATCCTCGGGAGAACCCTGAGGCTCTGTTTTACATAAAACCTAGCCGGCGTTCCACCGTTAAACCGGCGATACAATTCAAGACTTCACCAGAACCCACCACAAGCATCGACAACGTATAGCTCTCCAGTACGTGTAACGATCAAAAGTAAACCCTAATGGCCTTCCCCATACAGAACCAAGACTTAGTTTTGTCACTCCATCACATAATCGCTTGGTCCTAAAAAAAAAAAATAGAAAAACACATCACCTAATGAAGAAAGTTATTTTCAGGTTAGATCTACACACGAGTATACCTGAATGTCATTTTAAAAAATTGGTTGTATTTTGTTTTTTTTTTTTTGTGAAAGGGAATTATTAGATTTTCTTTTTTCCGTAAACCTTAGTATACAGCTATAACTAGTTTTGCTTGTCCTACACTTCTGTATGTAACCCTGCTACATACTACGATACTTATAATAAAAATTCATTAAAACCAAATATTTATAGTAGTATATATTTGTCTCGAAATGATTGTCTAGTTTTAAATTTTACTTTTAGTAAAAGAAATATCAAAATTAAAATCCAAACTGGACAATCATTTTGGAACAGAGAAAATAAATAATATATATGTATGAGTATTAGAAGAAGAACATTTCACCAGTTCGTTGTAACATAACCATTGTATTTTATAATTCTGCCATCATAACAACCACGTAGGGACCTTGATTATTTGGATCTCGGGAAATTGAATCCGGGCCATTAGCTCCCGAATCTCCAAGATAGAGCTTGGAAAATTTTGAGTACGGATCCGGACATTGGAAAGCAAATAAGTGAGGAATGAAAAATAACATGCCAAAAGCGTTGACATTGTGTACAACATTGTACTTGGCTCGTTAGAACCAATTGAGATGGTAAAATTCGAAAGAAATTCTGCAGCATTTATACGCAGGGACTCACAATGGAGCAAGAATATTTTAGCTACCATATATAAGCTTTACATTAATTTGTATCACTTTGAACGTCACAACTCTATCATTTAATTTTTGTAAACGTTTTTCACAACTATTCCTAGCTATTCTATGTACAAGTAGGACATCGGACTTTCTTGCTATCGTTCATATATATAGGTTTGGCTAAGATATCGATGGCAACTAAAGCAGACCAATAAGTTCAACTTAGTTTATCAATTAGTTCCCAAAACTAAATAAATAAACAAAATCATTAATGCATCTATCATAGTCACATGCTCTGTAATCAACCAATGTCAAACGGATAGTTGTAAGTGTCAGAGCTCTAGAACTAAATCTAGGAGATTCGGATTGATTCCCACCAATAAGTGATAATATTTTAGGGTTACTATAAAGATATTTTTCAAAGAGTGGATGTAATAGCTTTTCTATAAGCCTTATCCATGCATATTGTACAATTTATTAGAAAAATATTAACCAATTAAAAGCTAATTAATAAGATCCGACAACAGTTGTAGTATTTCTTTTGATCACCTATACCTTATGCGGTAATGCGGATATAATTATGGATATGCATCAAGTTCTAGTGTTGGCCTCCATCTACACTATAGACAAACTACATACACTTAACAAGTTGACTCGCATTTTAGTGGTATTCAGATACATTCTGTATGCACATTGATTTTGACCTAACTTGCAACTTGGACCGAAGATATGTATATATGTAGCTAGGGTGGACAAATTGTAAAATATTTGCCAATTGTAGCCGTATCTTCTTCAGAAGGATATATATCGCTTTGCAAATGAAATAATATTACTCCTTTAGGTCTCATTGTTTTGTGGGATTCATTGCGATGCGATGTGATTTGATTTTCAAAGCTCAAATTTGTCTATTTTAATTTTTAAGTTTCTGTAAGATATCAACCATAATAATTATATTTTTATCCCATGAAATACAATTGGTAAGTAACAATTAAAAAGGTATTTTAATTCTAAGAAGAAATAATATCACCAGTTTGGAGAAAAGTCTATCGGCATTTGAGAATTTTTTCATCATTGACACGTGCATAAGGACCTTGATTAAATCAATCGAAGCAGAATATGTACAAGTTCGTAGGACGGCTCTGTCAGTAATATCCCTTAAAATTTTTTTGCTTTTTTAAGCTCTTCATGAATTGTTGTCACAATCTTGGCCGTTGCTACATTAAGGCCATGTAAAGTTTGTTACTAGCGAAGGGTTAGCTTTTGGCATACATGATCCTGCACATCTAAATACATAGGCCGTCCATGTTCAAGTTATGAGTAGGTTAATTGTGCCACATCGGTTTGTGAGAAAAATAAAAAATGGTTAATGAGTAAGTTTGTTCAAAAATTTATTACCTTAAAACTTTACGTTGAGTTCGGTTTCTAGTTACTTATAAGGTTCGATATTGGAAACTCTTTGGGCATGTTATCCCCGGTCAGAATTCGTGACAATACCCTCACTCAATCCAAAGAAAAAGAAAATTTCTAGCTCAACGCAAATTAATTGACGTAGCTTGCAAATTGAATTAGGTGGCAACCTTTTTCACTGGCATTTGTTAGGCCGCCCTAGTGTTTTAATATGGCCATGCTGAAGATTAATTTCTCAACAAATATTTTTTCAAATGACTCACTAGTTCGTGTATGCTGCTTGCGTTCGGTCTAGTCGCTGTTGACTTATAGACACTAAATGGTGTCTCTCTCTCTCTCTCGCTCTCTCTCTCTCTATATATATATGTATGTATAGTAACATGTAGAGATATGAGCAGAGAACTTAGAAAAGGAAAAATAAAATAGAAGCAGTAATAGTTAGGGCTGGTAAAAGAATAAAAATACGTGATTAATTCGGAGGAATGCATGATATCCTTGCTGGAACAAAGGACATCGGATTTGCTAGAAGTCTAGATGCAGAAATATGTGGGCTTTAATGGCTATCTTTGAGATCATAGTGCAACATATACATTTGGAGAACCCAACGCATTAGCTGATCCGTTATCAAGAAGTGGAAGCTCTTCGAGGGATCTGACAAATTACTAAATGGCAAACGAAATCCCCAGACGGTTGTGCGGTTTATTTCCTGCTGATCAAATGTGTTTTTTTTGAATTCCTCGTTCCTGAAATTATATCATCAAGCTCGATTTTTATTTTTAGTACAAATTGAACGAAAAATAAAAAATTCAAATTGGACACTAATTTTCAAACATGGGAAATATTTGAATTATTTGATATCGTGTTTCAGAAATTAATTGCATGTACAAACCAGCTCCTCTTAGTAAAAATGAGATGGACAAAATTTTAACAAGTAGGAGACAATCAGCCCTAATGTAATAACTTGTTTATTGTAGCACAATGTTATGCTCATTGAGTACCAAACATTACTGCACCTTAATATATCATTGGTGCAAGCATGCAGTAACGGAGCTAGGATTTTGGTTTACGGTACAAATTGAAATGAACAGGACAAGTATGAATAATCACTTCGTTCCATAGATGCCAACGTAAGAGTAGATAATCGAGCCAATGAACAATGTTTTTCCACCAAGTCCAAGGAAACTATCATACTCTTGCACAACATTCACTTGATCGGAATACTCCGCAGCAAAATCCTTTATCAAAATCACTTCGCCATTTGAATTGAACTTATAACCAAATGAATGAACCAGAGGAGGTCGTAGCTGAAGGAACACGTTTACTGGCACCCAAAAAGACCCCAATTCGGCGGCTCTCTTTATCTTCAGAGGATAACCTATTAAATTCAACAGAACTTGGGGTTTCCTCGCCAATGGCCCTATTAGTGTTGGAAGAGTGTACTTGAAAATCTTTGAAGTACTGACAGAACCATACAACACAAATGTACCATCTCCACTTGCTGCGGGGCCTGATGGAAGAGGAAGTTCGTTTACTAATACTCTCAGTTTTCCCGTTACAGTATTATATTCAATCAGTCTTCCTGTTGAATCTTCTAGATTGGGAGGGTTTCCTAGAAGAACATCCCTATGAAAATATGATGCATACATGATAAAAACTGAGATCAGTCACTCGAACACAGGAACATACTTAATAATCCATCGGGTCTTTATTATAAAATCAGTTTTCACATATTACATTTTTCCAATTGGGAAAAAAAAGTTTACAAATATTTCCTAATAATTATGAGAACTAAATGAATTTGAAAATATGGTTTTTTTTTTCAATTGAAAAAACATACTAGGTGAAACTTATAACAAATCAGAATATCTTATAAAAAGAACATGAGGCAGTACTACCTACATGTATAATAATCTACTTTTAAGAACAAATTAATCAATCTGTTAGCCAGAAAATTATATTAAATGAAAACGTACGAAAAGCTGTACACCAAGCTGGTATCAGTGAAATAAACAACTCTTCTGATTGGATCAAAGTCAATGCCTTCGAGAAAGTGAAATGCGACACCATTTACATCAGTAGCAAGTTTCGTAGCAAGTCCACCTTGAGGGCTTACTCTGTAAAAGCCACCATACGCACCCACAATATAAAGGTATCCCGTTAAAGGATCAAAACTGAACCCTAATGGCCTTCCACATGTTGTGCTCAAACTGATATCTGTTGTACCATCACATAGTTGCTTGGACCTAAGCGGGAAAAAAAAAAAAAAATTGCTCAACGATCAATATGTATAGTTTGGTTAGATGAATGTAGATCTTGGGGAAAAAAAAAAAACCTTTTAGTTTGTGAAACATGAAAAAGTTTGTACTAGATAACGAGATATGGTATAGTGATAAGATGTCTCCTTTATTGAGCCCTTTTTAGAAAAGAAGAAAAAAAAGAGAGAATAATTTTGTCCTCAAATGATAGTACTTTAACTAGTTACTTTGCTTTGAAAGAAGAGTGAATAAGACCTGTTTGGAGAAAGATAAGCGTAATCCACAAAATCCATTCCATTGTATTTGAGAATTCTGCCATCACTAACGCCTACATAGGGACCTTGGTTAAGTGGATCCAGTGAGACTGAATCCCCTTTCACACCAGGAGGAAGATTGAGTTGGGAATATTTGGTGTATGGGTCGGTAAGTGGGATAGCAGATAAGAGAGGAATGAAAACCAGAATGCCAATCATGAACATCATTATGTACAACATTGTACGGTATGAAGGGGTTATCACTATTAACAAGAAGGCTGTTGTACTCGATAGAAATTTGGAAAGTTGGCAACATTTATATACAGGCAGAATTTGACATTGTAGCAGTAATTTTTTTGATAAACCTTTTGCTATTTTGACTCTAAATTCATTTTCTATCACTATCGTCGGCCATCGCGAATTCGCGATATTACCGGTTTCTCTCGTTGTGAATCCGATGAGCCATTACGTTGGAGATTTAATGTATATAAATAAATATGACTATGCTCTTGAGTACGGTCCTTGTCTCCGCTAAAAATAAAAATAAAAAAGAAGGAAAAAAGTGTTTTGTGGATGGTTGCAATTTTCAGACATATTTGGGCGTATTAATTCTATCCCATTAAAACATTCCTCATTTGGGCGTATAATACATATAATTTTTATCTTGTTTCGAAGTTTGAGCGTCCATTATCGTGAAAATATATCTAAGCTTAAGCAAGGATTTTTGTAATCCAAAAAAAAAAAGATTTAAAAATAAGATTAATAGAAATGAGAATGCTAAGGTTATGGTAGATTAGATAGGATCGAAAGGAATGTATTAGAAAGAATTTAGGAGTTGCAACAACAGACGAGAATGAGACAATCACACTTAATATGGTTTAAGAAGGGTAATAGTATTCTTAATAATTTTTAGAAAGAAATAAAAATAACTCGATGAAATAATTGTTATACTTTTAATGATGACTTATGTAGTTATGGGACACGGGAGTGACAAATGATCTATATATAACTGATTTGGGTTAGTGGAAAGAGACTTTCCTGTTGTAAATTTGTACTTGTCCATCAACTTTCATATCATTATCATTATCTCTGGATTCCTACTTGTCCATCAATTTTCATATCATTATCGCTCTCTACAATGCTACATTTTAAAACAAAAAAGAAGAAGAAAAACATATCATTTCTCAACGCAAATTGAAATTAGGTGACCTAGCTTGCAAATTGAACTAGCAGGAGGACAGCCTTTTCGATTGGAACTCACAGCTGCTGGCCTATGGATTGCCCATGCGGAAGATAAAAAAATAACGGAACAATTTCCACCATCTCACTTCTTCATATTGTTTTAGCACATGCGAGAGTTTCTAGTCAGAGCTGGTATTTTCAAAAGAAATAAAAAAAAAAACAAAACATAAATATATATATATATATATATATATATATATATGAAAACCGACAAAGTTAGAGCCCGTACGGGTACAAAGAATAAATAAATAAATTCGACAAAACATTGAGCTGGTGGAACTCTCCCCCGTCACTATATATATATATATATATATATATATATATATATATATATTGGTTTAAAAAGCATGAGAAGTACGTAGCTTACACATTTACCAACACTTTGTTGATAAATTCAGAAATTATGTCCATACATCGAAGACTCGCTCTCTCTCTCGCTTTTTTTTTCTTTTTTTTTTTGTAAGGCATCGATCGGCCATCTATACGATGTAATATTTGTTGAATTATTATTGAAAATTAAGACTTGTCTGGAATACAAAAATTTAATTCAATTGTGATTGATAAAATTTTGATATCTTAAGATTTTGAGCATTCTTAGTATTCAAGCGTTGATTCAACAGATCTCAATGGGCAATGGCTTTGGTTACAATAGTTACTTTTGGAGGCTTCAACTATGTTTTGTTCAAATGGACCACCTGCAAAGGACCTCAAAGACCTGCTTGGCTCATATAAACCAGATATTATGTACCTGCAAGAAACAAAAGTAGCTAGTGGTTTTATAGAAAGGTGTTAGACAGCACTGGTTTTAGTAGTTTGGCAAGGGTGGATTCTTATAATGCGTCCGGAGGTTAAGGTCTCTTTTGGTATAGTGGTATGGCTGTAGAAGTGTTAAACTTCGCATAGAATGACAAAGGCAACACTAGTGATGGCAAACCGCATGTTATTTGATTCTCTTTAATATTTCAATATGAGATCTCATGTTTCAAAAAACGTCTAGTTATTTGAAGCAACTAGAAGACTCAAGATCCACAGGAGGATACTTTTTGTGTTAAAAAGAAAAGAACCCTAGCGTATTATGCACTAAAGTCGTGTTAAAACTCGGGATTGACCCGTTACATGACCCGTGTGAGCTTGTGTAAGAAGAATTTTTTTCTTATTAGGAAAAAAAAAAAAACTAAACCGCGTCGTATTGTTTGTGAGGATTTTATTAAAATATTAAGCAGATATATAATTGAAATTACTGTGTCGTCTTGTTAATCGCATCCCAAGAAATAACATGTTCAGGAGACATTTACTTTAACTTGTTATGATTATAGAAATTAAGCCATATTGGAGTGAGGACATTAAATGAGTGTGTAGAAACCAGCTCTTTCTAATAAAAATTACTAGTGTAAAATAAGATGGACATAATTTTTACTAGAACAATTGAATGTCCTAATAATCTCATAATTATTTTATTGTAGTAAAGGTTATGAACATTACTGCACCCTACTACTTCGTTGGTGTATGAGTAACGGAGCACGAATTTTGATTTAGCTGGAACAAAAACAAATTATCTGAACAAGTACCAGTAATCACTGTGTTCCATAGACACCAACGTAAGAATCCATAATTGAGCCAACGTACAATGTTTTCCCTCCAAGTCCAAGGAAACTGCCATACTCTTGCACAACATTTACTTGAGATTGGAAATACTCGGCAGTGAAATTTTTTATCAAAATTACGCCGCCAGTTGAATTGAACTTGTAACCAAATGGATGGACCAAACGAGGTCGTAGTTGAACCAACTCGTTTACTGGAACCCAAAAACATCCCAATTCGGCGGCTCTCTTTATTTTGAGAGGATAACCTGTTAAATTCAACAAAGCTTGGGGTTTTCCGGCCAATGAACCTATGAGAGGAAGAGTGTACTTGAAAATCTTCCCAGTAGTAGAACCATATAATATAAATGTACCATCTCCACTTGCTGCCGGGCCTGTTGGAAGAGGAAGTTGGTCTATTAATACTCTTAGTTTTCCCGTTATAGTATTATATTCGATCAATCTTCCGGTTGAATCTTCTGGATTGAGAGGGTTTCCTAGAAGAACATCCCTGTGATGCAAACATGATAACAACTAAAATCAGTTCAAATGTTACTGAAACAAAACTATTAAATACCCCTTTGTCCCCAAAATATTGTTTAGCTTGATTTTTTTTTCTTCTAAATAATACTACAGTAATTTATCAATGGGGACAACAATTTTCATACTGAGAAAGTACATAATAATCTAAGTTGGAGGAAAAATCAATAAGAATATATATGTTTAATGAAGACGTACGTGAAGCTAAATACCAAACTGGTATCTGTGAAATAAACAACTCTTTTGATTGGATCGAAGTCAATGCCATTGAGAAAATGAAACGGGACACCATTTACATCAGTTGCAAATTTCGTAGCAAGTCCACCTTGTGGGCTTACTCTGTAAAAGCCACCATACGCACCCACAATATAAAGGTATCCCGTTAAAGGATCAAAACTGAACCCTAATGGCCTTCCACATGTTGTGCTCAAACTTATATCTGTTGTACCGTCACATAGTTGCTTGGACCTAAGCGGACAAGAAAATTGCTCAGCAATCAGTATGTTTAGTTTGGCTAAATGAATTTAGATCTTGGGGGGAAAAAAAAACCTTTAAGTTAGTGAAACATGAACAAGTTTGTACTAGATAACGAGATACTGTCTAGTGATAAGATATCTCTTTTATTGTTCTCTTTTTTGAAAAGGAGAAAAAAAAGAGAATAATATCCTCAAATGGTAGTACTAAATTAGTAACTTTGCTTTGAAAGAAGAGTAAATATCACCTATTTGGAGAAAGGTAAGCGAAATCCACAAAATCGGTTCCGTTGTATTTGAGAATTCTGCCATCACTAACGCCTACATAGGGACCTTGGTTAAGTGGATCCAGTGAGACTGAATCCCCTTTCACACCAGGAGGAAGATTGAGTTGGGAATATTTGGTGTATGGATCGGTAAGTAGGACACCACATAAGTGAGGAATGAAAACCAGAATGCCAATCATGAACATCATTATGTACAACATTGAACGGTATGAAGGGGTTATCACCATTAGCAAGAAGGCTGTTATAATCAATAGAAATTTGGAAAGTTGGCAACATTTATATGCAGGCAGAATTTGACATTGTAGCAGTAAGTTTTTTGATAAAGTTTTTGCTATTTTGACTCTAAATTCATTTTCAATCACTATACTGGGCCATCGTGATATTACCGGTTTCTCACGTTGTTAATGCGATGAGCCATTACGTTGGAGATTTAATGTATATAAATAAATATGACTATGCTCTTGAGTACGGTCCTTGTCTCAGCAAAAAAAAAAAAAAAAGGAAGAGAAAAAGTGTTTTGTGGATGGTTACAATTTTATTACATTTTTGGGCGTGTTAATTCTATCCCATTAAAATATTCCTCATGTAAGAACGAATAGTTGGTTTTTACTGCTCTAGGTTATAATACTTATGATTTTTATCTTGTTTCGAAGTTTAAGCGTCCATTATCGTGAAAATATATCTAAGCTTAAGCAAGGATTTTTGTAATCCAAAAAAAAAAATGAATTAAAAATAAGATTAATAGAAATGAGAATATTAAGGTTATGGTAGGTTAGATAGGATAGAAAGGAATGTATTAGAAAGAAATTAGGAGTTGCAACGGCAGACGAGAAGTGAGACAATCACAGTTAATATGGTTTAAGAAGGGTAAGAGTATTCTTAATAATTTTTTGGAAAGAAATAAAAATAACTAGATGAAATAATTGTTATACTTTGAATGATCACTTATGTAGTTATGGGACACGAGAGCGACAAATGAGCTATATATAACTGATTTGAGTTAGTGGAAAAAGACTTTCTTGTTGTAAATTCGTACTTGTCCATCAACTTTCATATCATTGTCATTATCTCTGGATTCGTACTTGTCCATCAATTTTCATATCATTACCTCCCTCTACAATGCTACATTTTAAAACAAAAAGAAGAAGAAGATGAAAAACATATCATTTCTCAACGCAAATTGAAATTAGGTGACCTAGCTTGCAAATTGAACTAGCAGGAGGACAGCCTTTTCAATTGGAACTCATAGCCGCTGGCCTATGGATTGCCCATGCGGAAGATAAAAAAATAACGGAACAATTTCCACCATTTCACTTCTTCATATTGCTTTAGTACATGTGAGAGTTTCTAGTCAGAGCTGGTATTTTCAAAAAAAATTAAAAAAAAAAACAAAATATATATATATATATATAAATAAGAAAACCGACAAAGACAGAGCCGGGACGGGTATAAAAAAAAATAAATAAATAAATTCGACAAAACACTGAGCTGGTGGAACTCTGCCCCGCCACTAGCTTTTTTTTTCTGTTTAAAAAGCATGAGAAGTTCGTAGCTTACACATTTGCAAACACTCTGTTGACAAATTCATAAATTATGTCCATACATCGAAGTAACTCTCTCTCTCTCTCTCTCTCTCTCTCTCTCTCTCTTCTTCTTTTTTCGTTTTTTTTTTTTTTGGTTTAAGGCGGCTGCCTATGCGATGTAAGTTTTGTTGAAAAAATTAATGTTTGTCTCGAACACAAAAATTTTGATATCTTAAGATTTTGAGCATTCTTAATATTCATGCGCTGAATCAACAAATTTGTTAGGATTTCCGTAATTGACACCTAGGGTTTTTGTAATATTCTATATATATATCATATGTACATACATGATAATACACAGTAAATTAATTCTTTCACCGCATACAGGAGCCAAACTTAGGTCTCTCACTCCATCGCATAATTGCTTGGTCCTTAAAAAGAAAAAACAAAGCTCAACATAAATGAACATAGTTATTTCAAGGTTAGATCAGCATAAACCACAATGCTCAAGTACTTAGCTAAAGGTTATTTTCTCAAATAAAAAGAGTTATACTAATATAAAAAAGAATTATCAAATTTTCCTTTTCCCTGCAGCATAGTGTCAGGTACTAGATTTTTGGTCCTACAATTCTATATGTCGCGCTGCTTACTGTAACAGAACAATATCAATTTCTGTTTCTGGTTAAACACTGTATTATCAGTTCATTAGAAGTAGAGTTCTGTATTTTGAGTTAAGACATAGCCTATAAGTAAAAAGGCAAAGCTTTGTTAACGAAACGCTATTAGTTTTCCATCAATATCACTGACATAATTTGAGTATTGAAAAGACTATATATATATATATATATATATCATCCTGTACTAAAAAATACTAGTAAAATTGAGATGGACGTAGTTTTAATCAGTGGCACAATTTTATATAAAAAGAAAATTTATTAGAGTACAAGGTTATGGTCTTTGCGAATCAAACATTACTACACCTTAATTCATCACTGGTGCATGCAATGGAAGAGTGCTCTTAAGGGGTGCAAAATGAAATCAAGAAAACAAGTATGATTAATCATTTTGTTCCATAGACGCCAACATAAGAATTGATAGTTGAGCCAACATACAATGTTCTTCCTTCCAGTCCAAGGAAACTGTCATACTCTTGCACCACATTCACTTGAGCTTGAGAATACTCCGCAGTAAAATCCTTTATCAAAATCACATCTCCATTTGAATTGAATTTATAACCAAATGGATGAACCAGACGAGGCCGTAGTTGAAGCAACACGTTCACAGGCACCCAAAATGACCCATAATCTGGTGCCCTCTTTATTTTGAGAGGGGAACCTGTTAAATTCAACAAAGCTTGGGGTTTTGCTGGCAATGGCCCTATGAGAGGAACAGAATACTTGAAGATCTGTTTAGTACCGACAGAGCCGTATAATACAAATGAACCATCTCCACTTACCGAAGGTCCAGTAGGAAGAGGAAGTTTGTCAAGCAGTACCCTCAAAGTTTTTGTTTTCGTGTCATATTCTATCAATCTTCCCGTCGAATCATCGGAACTGATAGGGTTTCCCATAAGAACATCCCTATGATGCATAAATGATAAACGCTCTGATTAGTTTAGGTGTCGAATATACAAGCAGAAAACATACTCCCTCTGCTCCAGAAAAATAAACTGCTTTGTTGTATTATTTTTCGGGAACGTAGAGATTACGTAACAATATATAATTCTTTTCCGTGAACAAATTAATCTGTATGCTAAAACAATATGTTGAATGAAGACATACGTGAAGTTGAATATCAAGCTAGCATCTGTAAAGTAAACCGATCTTCTTATCGGGTCAAAATCAACACCATTTAGAAAGTGAAATGGCACGCCATTTACATCGGTAGCAAGTTTCGTAGCTAATCCACCCCTTGGACCAACTCTGTAAAAGCCACCATAAGCACCCACAATATAAAGATAACCCGTTAAAGGATCGAAACTGAATCCTAATGGCCTTCCGCATACTGAACCCAAATTTATATCTGTTGTACCATCGCATAATTGTTTGGGCCTAGGAGAGCAAAATGCACAACATAGTTAGGCAAGATGGATTAGATGTTTGGAAAACTCTGAGCTAGAATTTGCACTCAAATTCTAGCTATTAGTTAGTTGCTTTGGTTGAGGACATGTCACCTGTTTGGGGAAAGATAAGCGAAATCCACGAAATCTGTTCCATTGTATTTGAGGATTCTACCATCGCTGACTCCCACATAAGGACCTTGATTGGATGGATCTAGCGAGACTGAATCCCCTTTCACTCCATCGGGAAGATTGAGTTGGGAATATTTGGTGTATGGATCTGTAGCTTGCAAAGCAAACAAATGAGGAATGAAAAATAGAATCCCCAAAATGGAAAACATTGTATAGGGTAAAACCAAGTAGCGAAAACGATGGCGGATTCAAAAGGAAATTTGGCAGCAATTTATAGGCAATTCACAATGGTACAAGTTTGTATGACGGCTCTAGCCGCAATATTTCGTAAAAAAGTTTTTGGTTATTGGTTTGGAGCTCTCTATTAATAATGTTGTCACTATCCGAGACACGAATCATTTACGATTATGTAAAGTTTTGGTTTCTGTTCCATAAATTGAGCAGAGGGCGTGACAAATTATACTAAAATTAAATAGTATCTAATTAAAAGACAAATACACCATCTATACTAAATATATTTATACTTATTAATTAAGGGTAAAAATATAAGTTTCCAGAAAAAAATTAAATATGTGAAATGGAATAGTCACTATCCTTTTTCATAATTCTTTTTCACTATACATATCTTGTCCCCCATAAATTTATCCCAAAAAGGAAATTATTTAAAAAAACCTACTTTGAATTAGTTTGGAAGGAATCTAGACCCTTTGTCAACGCAAATTAGTTGACCTAGCTTGCAAAAGAACAAGGCGGACAACCTTTCCTTTTGGATTTTATAGCCACCCTCCCCGAATCTTTTTAGTGTATCATTGCACATTCTTAAGATTAAATTCACAAGGATAAATCTTCCAATATCACACTTGCTTTAGGTTCAAAACTGCCGGTAAATTTTGTTGAGACCAAATCGGGTGTAACATCAAAAGGAGATATGCGAAGGTCGAAAGTTTATACTACTAAATGAAAAACCGAAAGAATGCAATGGTAACCATAATATAAACCCATCGGTAAGAGCGACGATTTTATTTTGTCCTTGAAACAAAAAGAACAATTGAACTGGACCTGATGTTGATAGCATGAGGACTTTTGAGGGAAATATGAAAGCCATGGTATGATGACAATTATATATACCACAGTCCAGAGTTAGTTTTTAACTTAATCATTAAGTGAAAAGATAATTAATAAGAACTTGACACATCAACTGCATATTACCATAGGGTGAGAAGTAGATGATAACAACCCCATTAATCTTTTACCTCGCAATTTAGGGTAATTCCATGTTATCTATTGGGATGCTCTCGCCGAAAAAGGAAGTTAATACAAGTCTCGATTAATCATATGTAATAGCAGCAGTGTTACTTAAACATCGATTAGATGTTTGGTATTGTTACTTAATCATCGATTAGAATTAGGCAAATAAAAAACAGAAGGGCAAACCAAATACTGCCGACTACAAAATCTCTAGGCTCATTTTCATGTTGATGAATAGCTGTAGCCCATGGCCGCCGATGAAAAAGCAGTTCAGCTCATGCGCGTGTGCCTAAAAAAAGTGTCTTACAGTAGTAATTAAATGAAATGAGTTTGATAGTATATTTATTCGGTATGTTTGAGTATTTGTAATTATGTGGTACACCATACTTAATCTAACAGTTTGTATTATTTCTTATAATTTAATGGTTAGTATTAATCAACTGAACAGTTCAGTCGACTGGACTATAGTCGCTCCCATATATATATATATATATAAATACTTAATAAAAATAATTGATTATATATATATATGTATATATAGATACATATATATATAGTCGCTCCCATATGTATATGTACTTAATAAAAACAATTGATTACAAGCAATTAATTACTTCATTGTAGTAATTTGCTGATACAAGGCCATCATTTTATACTTCCATCTCAAAAGAAATGGGGTATACATAATCACTATTGTTTAGGTGAACCCGAACAATATCAGACTGGCATCCTCCGTTTTTATTTATATGAAAGGATGAATACATCATCAGCATTTTGTATATTTTCCAACATAATTTGCACTGCGCGAGCCAACATACAAGGTTCCTCCTTCAAGAAGATTAAAATATTCTTGCACAACATTGACCCGACCATTGCCATATTCCAATGTGAAATTCTTGATCACAATTACATTACCATTTGAACTAAACTTATAACCATATGGCTGAAACACAGGAGTAGGTTGCGTCTGAACCACTTGGTTTACTGCCACCCAAAAATATCCAAATTCCGCGGCTCTCTTCGTTTTGGCAGGAGAACCTAGTAGGTTAGGTATTAGAACATCGGTTGTTCCTGATTTTGGCCCAATGAGATAATACTTGTAAATTTGTTGAGTGCTATAAGAGCCATACACTATAAATGAGCTGTCTGCGCTAACTGCGGGTCCTGATGGACGGGGAATACCGTTTACTAGTACCCTCACTAGTCCTGTTATGGTGCTATATTCTAATAATCTTCCGCTTGAATCTCCTGGAGGAAGAGGGTTCCCTAGAATAGCATCCCTGTCATTATACACATCCGATTAATGGATGAATGTAATTAAGTTAGTTGAAAGAATCATAATTATAGTTGGAACAAATTATCTTGTAAGAAAGAAAAATTATACTCTCTCCGTCCCAAAATTATTTTACAGTTTCTGGACAATAATTTTTGGATAGAGGAGTAACTTAAATGAAGACTCACGTGTAATTGTATACCAAGCTGGTATCTGTAAAGTATACAACTCTTCTGATTTTGTCGAAATCACAGCCATTAAGAAAGTTGAATGGTACGCCATATGCACTAGTAGCAAGTAGTGTGGCTTGACCACCTTGTGGTCCGACTCTGTAGAATCCACCATAAGCACCAACAACATAAAGATTTCCAGTTTCTGGATCAAAAGTGAACCCTAATGGCCTTCCACATATCATTCCCAAACCAATATCTTGTGCACCATCGCATAATTGCTTGGACCTAAGGGAGGTAAAAGGCATCGATATTAATACTGTTAGAATATATGAGTAAACTTCATTAATTAGCACAATGTCAACTACAAGGAAGATTTTATGTCGCCTGCTTTTGTGTATCGATTTCGTTGCATTTTAATTACAAAAAATATGTTTAGTCGTTTTGGTTAAAATATGTAATGTAATTTTAGTTATCAATTTATCAGGAGAAAGAGGGCTTGTAGGAGAAAATAAATGACCCTTTGTTGACCTTAAATATGAGAAACTTGGGAAGTATATATGATTCTTTTTCCTCTAGAGGGTAGAAATTACCCGATCAATATCTTCAACCTTTTTCACTAATTACATACTATTAGTACATAAAAATTGAGAAATCGGACCTTTCTCACCCTCAAGTCACTATATTTTATTTTGGAATTTAAGTTTTATATCTCAATTCCATGTACAAATAATTGGTACGATCTACTTTATTTAAAGGCCCAAGTTATACATCGTGAAGATTGTGAACAAAATAAATTCCATTTCCCTTGTGAAAGCGATTGGCACATAAAAAAACAAAATCATCTCTTCTCTAAGTTTTCTGAGAAAGATTTAATTAATCGCCAAACACTTGTATTTCTCTGGCACCAAAAAGGTATATTGATCCAAAACAGTAGAATAAAATACGGGTCTTTGGTTTACGGACGATGGTTAATGAATGCACAACAACTAATATCGTTACTGGAAGAACATTTCACCTGTTTGGAGAAAGGTAAGCAAAATCCACGAAATTAGTGCCATTGTATTTGAGAATTCTACCATCACTAATAGCTGCGAGAGGACCTTGATTCAATGGATCAAGGGACACTGAATCCGCTTTTACTCCAAGAGGAAGATTGAGCTTGGAAAATTTTGTGTACGGATCGGAAAGTGAGAAAGCAAAAGAGCGAGGAATGAAAGACAGAATACAAAACATGATCAACATTGTTCAGTTCGGAACAAATTAAAGATGGTAAGAGACTCAAAAGGAATACTGCAGCATTTATAGGCACGGACATCGCATTGATCCAAGTTTTGGTCGCATGTTAGGACAGCTCTAAGAGAGTAGTAATTTTTGTAACTTTCAGCTAATTAGTGAGATGTTACAATAGCTATCTACGAGTACATAATCACTTTTTCAATTCATTTTCTAGTGGGTTTTAATTAACAAGCTATTCCATTCAGAAAGAACTCAAATGCGGAGTGTGTTTTCTTGCTATCGTGGCTATCTAGGTTTTTGTTGGATATCAAATCCCTCCCTATTAAAAAGGTCCTAAGGCATGTTAAAAGGTCTTGCATACGCGCACAATTTAAACATAATGACTCTCAATTATGACTCTCATTAAATCAAAGTTTGACATGTCCAGCTGTAATCATAAGATATAGATTAGTCAGATTTGGCATCTACTGCTTGGAATGATCCCGTGATTCATACATGAAAAAAAATATTGTGTCTGTCTCTGTCCGAAAAACTTTCCACGACTTACTCACCAATATTTTCGTGTATAATTTTACTCACAAAAAATGTTGTGGGTAAGACGTAGGAAACTTGTTAGCAGGAAATTTTTACCCACGGATTAACCACAAAAATGTTTGTGTGTAATTACCCACGCAAATTTGATGGCGGGAAAAAATCACCCACAGATTACCTATGACTTTTTTTTGACGTGAGTAATTTCGTGGTACGGTGTGGGTAAATTGAAATTTAGAGAGCATCAGAATTTGGTCAACGATTTATGGGTAATTCGTGAGTATCCAGGACTTACCCATGAAAGACCGAAAATCGTGGATATCTTATAAAACTGCCTGCACTATCCATTCCTGTATAGGGATTAAAAGATCCATCTGTATCAACTTCGATCCATTCCTTATGAATAGGATGAACGGAATCTTTTAAAAATGATGATACGATTGGAAGGAGTAGTAGAAAAAAAAAGTCAACAAATAAAATAAAATAGTATTTATTTTGATCCCCAGTATAGTTTTCACACGCGCATGTCGATATGGGTAAGTATACATGACTAGGATTTCTAACATCAGGCTTGATGTTGGAGATTCTTTCCCGAGTAAATACCCAACATATATTTTATCTTTCAAAAAGGAAAAAAAAACTTGAATCTCATTTTAAAGGAATTCAGATGCATTCTCAACACACATTAAGTTGACCAGAATTGCAACTTGAACTGAAGATATTTGTAGCTAGAGTGCTAGACGGGACAAATGGTTAAATATTTGCCATTTGCAGACGTGCTATTTTATAGACTAACCACGCTTGAGATTTTGTAAAAAAAAAACAACTTTCCAAAAGAAGAAATCTCCCCATGTCTCCACTTGTGTTATTTTCCTCAGATTATCCCACGCTTAAGATTTTGTAAAAAAGACAAAACTTTCCAAAAGAAGATATCTTCTCATGTCTCCATTTGTGTTATGTTCCCAGTTCTCCATGCACCGTTAGGTATGTGTACAGGTAAATTCGATTATACTGCCCGCCATCAAGTAGACGTACGATAAATGTGTGTTGTTTGATGAAGGAGAATATTCAACAATAATTATTTTGCTTAAGTCATTGAACTCCGTGTAAAGACATGCAAAGGTGGCCATGCGAATATCCGGGGTGCCGTCTGTATTTTTAAATCGATTAAATAAAAAATTCGAATCATTCTTAAAAGAATAAAAAAAAATAGAAGAATAAAAAATCGATTGAAAGGACAGAAAGTCAGTTATTATACATAAATTTATGGCGCAGATTTATAACATTTAATTTACAACTTTTAACTTATGCCCGAGTTTACATAAATCATAAACTAATATCTACAACAGAAGAATAAAAAAAACTCATCCTTAAAAGATCAAATTTCTTTCATGACAGCTTATTTTTTCTCTGTTGTAGAAATAGATGGATTGATAATTGATGTCAGATTTTAATAGATTGATTTAAAGGCCCGGGTGTGTGAGAGAGGAGCGGAATGGAAGAGATTCTTTGAAATTGGGGATTGGGAAGACATTATTGTGTTTCACTTGATTTAAGGAGATTTACTTACATTTAATTTTATTAATTAAATATTATTATTTTAAGAGATTAGTATATACATATAATTAAGAGATTTTTATGTAGCTATAATTAACGGATTTATGTATTTATCTATTCTATTTTTTTTTTGATTAGTTAGAGTGCCACTTGTCAAAAATGATTTTGTACTGAAAATAATTTTTGGCGGGAAAATTTTCATTGTAGTGCTAACATATGTCCTTTTTGTTTGATGCTTTAATTAAATACTATAGATTACTAAAAAAGAATTAATTTATCACAAACTTAAAGTTACTAAGTCAGAATGAACTCACAAGTGCTCTTTTTTCCCTTTCATTTTTTGGTTATGTCATCGAGCTCGCAAGTGGCATATATAATTGGAGGTGCACTGGATGTAAAATTCTTCATTTTCTCGGAACTCTTTTTTTTTTTCCAAAGTCAATTAGAAAAAGAATAATTTGTTACTAGGAGTGTATGAAATAATTTGTCATACCAGCAAACTAACACACAACTATATAGCTAAATGCATCAAATCTACTTCTACAAATTTTCATACTACAATATATTTTTATCCTAAAATACCTTCCACATACTATAAACTACTCTAACTAGGACCAGTTCTTTAACATTTTCACGAAATTCACATACATTACACGGTTGGGGACTAGGTTTGATTGTAGAGAGATTAATGAAAATTTTTTAAAGACAAGAATTGACGTAATTAATCTCTCATTTAGACTAGCTTGGTGGGTTTTGAAATGAGAAGATGAAATAATTCGAGTTTTTGATGTTTGGTTGACAAATTTTAAATTGGCAGTAAAGGATTGATACTTAATTATTTAAGAATTTTTTAAACTCACCAGGGTTCGAGTTTTGATCTAATTCCTGTTTTTATAACTTTTTTTTTCCTCAATCTTTTGATTTCTTATAGCATTATATTGTATATAAATTTATGATTATATCATTACAATAATTTTTTTTCTTCATTATGAACTCAAGATATTATCTGAAATTTTTAAATCAAATTTAAATTAGAAACATCATTAGATGAAAATTTTAATTGATTAATATGTGAGTCAAATTGATATAGAAATATTAAATTTGTTCACTGCATTAAATTCAAATTGAGATAAGAGTTGTTGGGACTCAATCAAATTAATGTAGTTTTTCTAAAAACGAATAAGATCATAATCTAAAGTATTCAAACTGATTTAATAAAATGGTTTATTAACTTTTTAAATTTAGTAGTTAAATTTCGGTACCATTAATCAATAAATTAAATGAAAAAAAAATAATAATAACTGAAGCATAAAAAAATCGGAAAAATTGACTAGGAAGTGGGACCCACAAAGGGGGAAGTGGAAAAAATTGAATTTGAAGTTAATTTTGTTTTGTATTACTTTTAAATTATTTAATATTTTTATTATAAAATAATATTTTTTGAATACTTTATTATTAACCTAGTAAGTTATTTTGATTTTATACATAGTATTCCGAAATACCTTTGAATTGGGTTTGGTCAATGGTCGTCCTGATGCAAATTGCAACGTAACAGTGAAAAAAGACTAAAATACTTTTAAAATAAAATTTATAATCTCACTCCGTAAGTTGATAGAAGTTGCCCCATATCATCCGCATGAAGAAATATTGATTTGTGTAACAATGATTTATTTGTTTCAAAAGCCACCCGCAACCCCAGTCTTTAGCAATTGGTTTTGAAATGGATACTCAAATATAAGAGTATATATATTCAGTTTAAATTTTTTTTTAATTAACGTATGGTAGAAAAGTTAGTTGACCAAAAGAAACAATCTACTGGCTATTTCTCGGTA